TAGATATTTATAAAAACTTTTAAATTATAATTATAAAAGCTTTTTTTAATTTAATTTAAAAGATTAAAAGTCAAATTATATTAATAGAACCTTTTTTATAATTAGGCCTTTTACTAGATTTATTTATTAGATTTAAGGTACATTTATAATAAATAATATTAAAATTATATATTATAAAATATATTATCTAATATATATAATAGCTTTTTAAATACTTTATTTCTATAAAGTATTAGAGATTATTATAGTCTATAATAACCTTAATTATAAACCTGAACTCTTTAAAATAATAATACTAATATTTAAAGCTTTAATAATTATAAATAGCTTTCTATTATAAATATTATAGTTATATTTAGTTTCGGAAAGTTTCCGGAACTAAAATACTATTAGATACTAGTATTTTTTTAAACTATTACTAGAATTAATTTATTATAAAATAGTATTAGTAATTATGAATTTTAATATATTAGGTTTAATATAAATTTTCTTAAAAGAATTAAAATAGACTAGAATAGGTATTATAGTAAAAGCTTTTTTTAATATTTTAAAGCTTTTAGCTATTTTATTTATTTATATAAAGAAACCGGATGTCCGGCCCTTTTCTATTTCTTTTAAGAAATTTATTAAGCCTATAATTACTTGAGAATAATAGTAAATAAACCTATAATAGAAATTAGTAAATCCAAGAAATACTTAAATATTATAAAAAAAATCTAGTTCTAGTTATTTAATAATATTATAAACCCGTTTAGAATTTGCTTAAATATTTTCTATTTTAATAAAAAAGCCCAAGAATTCGATTTCTTTAATATTAAACTCGTATTTACTAAATTTATAAAACAGGTTATTTTTATATAGCCTAATAAATATTTAGTAAATATAATTATAATTTTTATTTTTATTTTAGAAATAAATAAGAATATTATTTAAATAAATAATTATAAAATAATTCAGGAATCTTATAAATATAATATTAATATATACTTGAAATTTAGCTAGTATATTAGCTAGCCTAAAAGATATTATAAGATATTTAAAATAGCTATAGCAGGTTCTAAAAGCCGTTTTATATTTATATTTTTTATAAATTTCTATCTAATAATATATATTTTTAAAATCTAATTTTATAAAGATCTTGGCTTTTTAGAGCTAATTAAGCGTTTTATTAATAAAAGAAAACAGATATTAATTCTTAATTATAACTTAATTAAGTTTATAATAATTAATATAAAAGTATAGCCTTTTATTTTTCTTAGAAATAAAAAAAATAAATGCTTTTATAAGGCTTTTATTAAGATTTATTTAATATTTATAAAATATATTCTATAAATATAAATATAATACTTCTAGTTAGATATCTAATAAATTATATAAAAATCTATATAGAACAATATTATTTATATTAATAAAGTATTTAATATTACTAAAATTAGAAAGTTCTAAAGCTTTATTAGAATTAAAAACCTCTAAAAAAAATTATATTTATTATTCCGGAAATATATAAGTATTTCTAAAGCTTCTTTCCAGAAAGTATTAATTTATTATATTAAAAACTCTTATTTAGTATTACTAGAATTATATAATAAAATAAAGATCTAATAACTATTATAAATATATAAAACCTATTATCTAGAATAATTATATTTGTTTTTAATTAAAAATAAGACTTGAAATACTAGCTTAGAATATAGATTAAACTCTTTACTAAACTCTTTTAATATTAGGATTTTAATATTATTAGATTATATAAATATATATATTTATTATTTTTTAATATAGTTTATATATTATATAAAAATTACTTTATAAAATTCTATATTAAAAATAAGGCTATAAGAGCTAATATTCTTATATTTATAGAACTAGAACTTAAAAAAATATATCGTACTATAATTATTTATAATAAATACTTTAAAATTATAAACTTAATAGATTTTAAATCTATTTCTATAAAAAATTATAAATTCTTAATTATATTTAGCTAAAATAATAAAGTTTCTGCTTTAAATCTAATTATTATTAAAGAAATTATAATCTAATCTAGCATTATTAAATCTATTATATATTTCTAAAATATCTATTTCTAGCTATATTAATCTTATTTAAATAGTTATATAAAATAATATGCCTTTTTTATTATAGCTAAAATTATTAATATTTAAGATTTAGTTTTTTTTTCTCTCTATTTCTTAAAAGAGTCTTTTTTAAAGCACTTTTTTATAATAATAGTATAAATCTATTTCTATAAATACTTTAACTTTTCTATTATTTTGGCTTTATTAGAGTTTTATCGAGTTTATTTATTATATTTAAAATATTTTATATTTCCTGAAAAATATTCTTTCTAATTATAAGTTTAATAAACTATATCTAAAATAGAACTAGTACTTTAGTAGGGCCTAGAAAGAGCTAAAATATTACCTGAAAATTTCTTATATAATTTTTAGAACTTCTTTTTTCTTTTTTAATAGTTTTATAAATTAGAATTCTTAGAAATAAAATTACTCTTATTAGATTCTCTAATTTTTATTTTCCTTAATTTAAAATAAGTAATATATTTTACTTTCTGAGTTTTCTTAAGCTATTTAGAAATAGATATTACTTTATTTTCTAAGAAAATAAATATAAGTATTTAATAAGTCTTAAAATTAGATAGAATAGTATTAAGAGTTTAGATCTGATTTCTTTTAGAATATAGGTTCTAATTAACTTCGAGATTAATTATTTGAATATATAATTTAATAACTATTTTATTATTCTTTTAATAAAGATCTCGAAGTTTCTTAAAGGTATTTTACTAATAAATTTGAAGTAATTTAAATATATTAGCTAAATAGGCCTTAAATTACTTCTAATAGATTTTATATAATAATAGGCTTTATTTTATTATAGTTTCTCAAGTATTATAAGATTTATTCCTAAAAGTATTTATAATAAAGTTAATTCTAGAAAAGTATTTATTATAAGTCTAAGATTAAGTTCTAAAAACCGCCTTTTAGAAGAATATAAATATTTTTTATTTGTTAAGAAACTTTCTATAATATAAGTCAGGTATCCGGATTTTAAAAAGCTTCTTTTAATTTAAATATATTTTCAAGATATTATATAATAGCTTCTAATAAATAATATTAAAATTACTTTTAAAGCTTATTATATTAGGAAGAAAATAGGTTCTAATTCTATTTTAGAAAGTTCTTTAATAGGAATTACTAAAGAAAATAGAATAGATTTATAAATAGAATTTCTATAAAATATAATAAACTATAAAGTATTTCTAAGGGTATTCTTATATTATTCTAATTATAGGATATATTAATTAATTATATCTACTAATTCTTGCTTTTATTAGAGTACTTTAACTTTAGTATATAAGCCTTATTTTATAGCTTAAATAATAGTTACTTGAATATTAATCTGGGTATTTGAATTATTACTAGAATTATTTTTATTATTATTACTTGTTTATAAAGGCTCCTAAAAAGTCCTATTAAAAGTATTAAATAAGCCTTTATTATTACTAGTATTAGAATTAATTTAGTTAACTTTTTCTATAAAAATAGCTTTAGTAAAAAATTATATATTTTATAGACTTCGAGATATAATTACTTATTAAACTATTTCCTTTAAAAGTAAAGAGATTAGCTTATAAGGTATTTATTAGTAGGTAATAAGATAATAGAATAAATTAATAAGTTATAAAACTATAGTATTAAATTTAATATAGAATTAATTTCTATTTCTTCTATAAAGTTCAGGGAAACCTTCTTTAAATAGGAAGCCCTAATAACATATATATAATTAGTGATTTATAAGCCTAATACTTATAATATAAGTAGTAGTTAGCTATAATAATAAAGGGCTATTAATCTTTCTAATTAATTCCCGTAATATCCGAGGTTTATTATATGTTCTTTGGTTATATGCGACTCTATATATATTATAATTAACTTCTATTAAATATTAAAGAATTAATATAATTATATATTTTAAAGAGAATATTTTATAAATATTTTTAATAAACTTGCTTAGTTAATTAAAATCGAATATATTATATAAGCAAGATTATTAAGAATTAAAGATATAAGTTTTTTTAAGAAAAAAATCTATGATTTCTTAATAATGTACTCGTATTTGAGTTTATACTTATAAACCGGAGCTTACTTAAATAGCCGATTAACTAATTAGTGCTTGCGAAGGCAATGGGGACCCTGCTTAATTAATCGCTTATATTAATAAATAGGGGGTGGTGAAGAAACACATCGTCTTCGGTTTAGCAACAATATTAGATACTCTTAGTTTTTTCGTGTTTCTATGGTATAGGAAAGAGCCCAACGTTGGTTAGAAGCGCATCTTGCTGGCAGATGGGGCAGTACAATTCGTGACAATTACTGCCGTTCTGACCCGCTGGGTAATAGTAACTCAGGCCGCCTTCGCCACATCGATGCTAGCTGGTTTGATTCTCGAACAACCGGCAGTAGCTTTGGCGGACTCAGCAACACTCTCCATTACGCGAGCCAGCAATAACGAGCCCTGGGGCTTGTCCGTCCTACTTTCTAGAACTCGCAATCGATCTGCCAAATTTCGCTTTCACAATCTCGGCTTATTACTTACTCAGTTCGTCGACTACACTATTGCAATTTACATTGGACTATACTCCTGTCAGATTTTACAATTGATACCATCCAAAGCGAATCACAAAACTCGCTTGTATACTGCGGTTCGAATTCCACTAATCCCTGGCCTGACGGCTCAGACTTCACGGATCAGCAACGAGATAGGAATCTTTGGCAAGCGAGACCCGCAACATACCCAACCTTCGCTGGGTACTTATACGCACCTCCATTGTAATGGATGACGTGGATAATCCTGGTGTCATCATTCGTGCTTTTCTTCCCTCTACGGTTAGCACCCTCTCGATCATCTCTACGGGGCTTCGGAGGTGTAGCCTCGGTATTGGGCATGCGGATTGCGGAAGGGGAAGGTGGACTAAGATCATGGAGAAGTTCTGATTAAGCAAACGAGAAGGGGTGAACGTGGTTGAGGTGGTGGACGTGATACATCCTCTAGCATGAAAACGGCCCTCTTAACAACCCATCCCACTTAGCCTTCACAGCGTCCAGATCCCTCCAACCATCTCTCAACCTCTCATCCCTCGTTCTCCCCTCCTCGCCACCACCTGCAACTCTCATCTCCCCTTGCATCCTCGCCCCCTTCACCAGCGCCGCAGTTCTCGGCTGTCTCTTCTCCGCGAACTCCTTAAAAGCCCTCTTCAACTCATCGGCATCCACCCCATCACAAACATTCGGCAACAGCTCAGACAACCACCAACAATCCTCCAACGCCTGATTAGCGCCTTGTCCCAAGTGCGGACTCGTAGGATGTGCCGCATCACCCACAAGCACACACCTTCCGCCTCTACTTACCCAATTCTCAGGGTCCAGCGCCTCCCTATCATAAAGTCCATACTTAATCACCTTCTCCGCCGCATCCACCAACTCGCTAACCTCCTCGCACCACCCCTCAAACTCCGCTTTCAACCTCCTCTTGAAATCCTTCAGCTGATCCGCATCCATCGACTGCCACGTCTCGACATCCTTCGTCTCGGACCGGCTTGTGATAGCCCACCCGGTCATCCCCTCCTCAACGCGATAACTAGGAAACGTAATAAAGTGTCGTCCCGGCCCATAGAAATTCTTCCACACCCCCTTCTTCCCCAGCACCGCGTGCGGCGTCCTCGAGATCCCAGCAACCTGCACCAATCCCGTGAACACGGGCTCAATCTCCACGACGCCTCTCTGACGGAGCAGGATCGCGCGAGCCGCGGAACGGATGCCGTCGCAGGCTACCAGGAAAGAACCTGTTTCTTGGAGCCCAGAGGAGGAGGTTGCCGTCACGGCATCCGTGGATTCGACGATGGAGTCCAGTTTCCAGCCTTCGAGGAGAGGGATGCCGGATGATTTCAGGGCAGATTTGAGAGCGAGGTTCAGAACACTACGCTTTACGCCACAAACGGGCTGTCCATAAGTCTCTTTCCATGTCGAAGGTGAGTCCGTACCACCTATTTCTTCCCCTGCCCATGTGTAATCACGGATCGCTTGCACGTTCGGAACCGACGTGGTGATCGGGGACGCGAGATCGAGGAGCGCGAGGACTTTGAGGCCGTTGGGCATGAGCATCAAACCCGACCCTGCATCGCCGAGTTCACGAACTTTCTCGAGAACGATGGGAGAGTAGCCTTTCATTTTGAGCAGAAGAGCGAGGATGGGGCCGGAGATTCCTGCGCCGATGATGAGGACTTTTGGTGATGGAGGTTGCATCCCGGCTGGGAGTTTGTCAATTTCCCTGGCCAGTGAAAAGACTTCCCAGCTTAAATGGAAACGGGAAAAGAGTTGAGGAGAACTTCTGCGGTGGAATTGATTATGAATTGAGAGAGTTGAAACTTTGATACAGAAGCGACTGTGCGAAGGAGAGTAAAGACAATATATACAAGTCTGAACGAAAGCAGGAAGATAGAATCTGAGAATGAATGATTCCACGATTCGGTTCGGGCCTCGCGCCTCGCGCAGCGAACTGAGGTCAAATTGTCCGAACCCCCATTGTCCAATAGGGAGATTGTTGACCGGGGTTAAAAATTCCTCTTGTGCTGACTCACGCCGAACTCAGCCCAAGCTACGCAATGGAGCTGCGAAACACACTCTGCTTTGGGGTATATGTTCGCCGAATATGAGATGGGAAGTTATCAGAGTGCAGGAATGGATAAATGAACATGATGCGGAACTGAGTGGCAAAACGTTTGGGATTGACGCGCACCCCTTTTCACGTCGATCACGTGATCCTACTCATGTTACAATCAAAGTTAGACGCTAGTCTCATCTTTGCTAATTCCGTTTTAGTCTCTGAATGTGAGTAGGAGTTGCTTTAACTTTAGCCCAGGGTGGGTAGCTTAAGCGTAAGGCAGAGTTAGTATAAAAATATATTAGGAAACTTATTTTAGCTCTCTTAAAGCTTAGTTATATTCTTTTTGTCTTATTTTTAAGAGCGCGCTTTATTTTAATTTAAATAAGAATTATTTTTATATTATTCTTAAATCTAGATCTATTTATATATATTATACTTATATAATAAAGTAATTAAGACTTTTTTTTCTTATAATATTAGGCGACATTGTAGTATTGGACCTGCTGTTTTCGGCAGGTTTGGTCGCTGTTTTATGGGGGGTCGAACCCCGGGAAGATCCATTACATGTCGAGCCTGGCTCTCGTCAAGCGGCTGATCGTCGGAGCAAAGCTGCTCTAGGAGCTCCAAAACGTCAGCTCTTGGGATCCTCCTGCAACTGTCGACTCTTGAGGTGCCTCTTTTGGACTCGATAGCCCCCCCCCGAAACGGGGGGCCGGTCACCGTGGCAGTCACCCTTCCGGCGCTTCGAGCCCTCTGTCCTTCAAACATACTTATATGTCCTCATCCTTCCCCTATCTCTCTCGCAACCATTACTTCTCACCGACCATAATATCCTTTCCCCCCTCCTCTGCACCCATTACTCTTTACGATAATAGTATAGCCAAGACTATATCCCACCAAAGCAGAACGATCCTGTCGTTCTTATGGCCCCGAGCCGGTACACGCCTGTCGACGTATAACTGCCAGATATCTCGATATAGGGCCTTTAAGTCCTTTATTATTATATTAAATACGAGATCTGGGCCGCTTCGCTAAAATTAAAGACTGGCCCCGAAGCTTGCGTAGGGGCCAGTCTTTAATTTTGCCCTGATCTCGATTCGAGATTAATTAGATGCCTCAGGTACTTATTTAAGGGATATCAGCTTTACTGACTTTAAATTCACTTTGAAAATTCACTTTTTGAAGGCTAAAATTTTTCCAGGTAAGCTAAATAAGGTAGGTTTTAATTTCGAATTCCAAAGCTTCTTTCCTTTAATAAATATATATACATATACGTAAGTCAACCCCATACCCGCTACGGGCCTGCCCCTGGCCTGTAACGCTCCTTACGGTCCGTAGAATGTCTTCTCTCCTATCTGCTCCCGCTGCTTCAGCAGCACTAGCACCAGCCCCAGCTGCAGCTGCAGCTCCAGCTTCAGCACCACCACTATCACCACCACCACCACCACCACCACCAGCAGCAGTAGCAACAGCAGCTTCAGCACCACCACTACCACCACCACCAGCAGTAGCAACAGCAGCAACAGCACCACCACTACCACCACCACCAGCAGTAGCAACAGCAGCAACAGCAGCAGCACCAGCAGTAGTAGCAGCAGCAGCAGCAGCAGCAGCAGCAGCACCAGTACCAGCACCTGCCCTACCTGCCCTGCCTGCCCTGCCTGCCCTGCCTGCCCTGCCTGCCCTGCCTGCCCGCCCAACCCGTACCATAACGGCGCTCTCTTTGCTGGCTCTGCTACAGGTGCCTGTTTTGCGGCCCGGCCATAATCGTGCGTCAGGACTTGCACTAAATCCCCTACGTCCCTGCGGGTTTAGTGCGTATCAGCGATACGGTCAAAAATCAGCGATACGGTCATTTTTTTAGAACACCAATTTTCGGAATTTTGGTGAAAATCAAAGAAAAATATTTTATAGTTTATATGGAGTTTATACTATAATTAATAATTGAAATTCTCTTACTTTCACATCGCATGTGTACGCAGTATAAAATGCTGGAAATATTACACACTTTACCTCGTCGGCGACCCCCCCAAAATACTTCGATTCTAAGAAATCAATTAATTACACAACCACCATGTCTTAATTCGTGTACCCAATAATTGTCTCCTTCCCATTAGTAGCTAATCTAACTATATTACCAAAGCCATTATTATAAAATAAAGGGGGAAGGGGGGAGTGGCTTGACAAAACCAAGTTCTCTGCCTAGCATTTATTATTATGCGCAAATATGCGTCGCCTGGTGGGTGGATGCGCTCTCTCCCAGAATCTTATTAGCCATCCCCCGCACTCTCTTGAGGTTAATATTATGGCCTAAATAGATTAAAAAATCAATAAACTGCTTTAGGGCATTTTCCTGATCACGATAAAGGGCCTTGTTGAAGCCCCCTTTGGTGTTTTGTAGTAATCGGCCAGCGAGCCGCGCTTTCCAGAGGCATAATTTGACCCTGAATTAACGCGCAATCGCAGATTTTTGACGTGTGGGTTCCTGGCATAGAAATCGGAGGCCTGGGCCATCCTTTTCTCTTCTTCTGGGTCGAATTTGGCCATGGTATTAATATTTAATTAATTAAAATCGATATAATAGTAAAAAAAATGACCGTATCGCTGATTTTTGACCGTATCGCTAATATGCACTAAACCCGCAGGGACATAGGGGATTTAGTGCAAGTCCTGACGCACGATTACTACTAACCCCGCCCGGCCTGCTAACCTGGAGGCTAAACTTGGCTAATTCGTTAGTCAAGTTTATATTACCGGGTATATATATTATACTAGCGAGTCGGATATATAGATAATATATATAGTTATAGCTAGTTGGTTTAGAGAAAGCTATACTAACTACTATTATAATAGTAAGAGTACCTATTATTCTTTCTGTAAGTGCTTTTTATACCTGTTTACTAATCTTTTACAGACCGTAACTAACCTAATGAGTACTTATAGGTACTACTACTACTCTCTCTCTTTCTCTAGCTCTAGCTCTAGCTCCTGCCCCTGCTACTACTAATCCATATCCGCTTTACCGGGTTATTTCCGGTAGTTATATAGGTAACCGGGTTACTTCTGGCAGATTATCTTTATATATATATATATCTACTACAGATTATTACGGATTATAACTAATATATAAATAGCTTACCGCCTTACTATTTCTTATTACTATTACCTATTTACTTTCTCTTAGAGAGTATACTATTTCGCTAAGCTTTATAGGAAGCTAGTAGTTCTTTATAAAAAGAAGACAAAGGTACTAGAAGAGGAAAAGGAAACGAATTACTTGGTACTAGAGACAGAGAAGGAGAAGAGAAAGGAGGAAGAGAGAGAGGAGGAAGAAGAAGAGAAGAAAGAGGAAAGGAAAGAAAGTAAATAGAATAAGAAATTATAAATCCTATAAAGGGTTATCTAGAAGAGATATATATTTTTAATACCTAATAATATAGTATTCTTAGTTTATTTAAGCCCTAAAATATTTGAAGTAATAATTATAAGTTATTTATAAATAGATATAAATACTTATAAATACTTATAAATAGTTATAAATAGTTATAAATCCCTAAATCCCTTAACCTAACCTATAAGGCTACCCGGTATTTATAAGGTACTCATAAGAGATAAAGTACTAAAATAAATTAGCTAAGACCTTAGAATAAGTTATATTAAATATTCTAGATAAGTTCTTATATAATAAAAGAATATTTAAGTTTTCTATAAATAATATACGGGAAACCCCTATATAAAACTGCTTATAAGTAAATACAGGCGTTTATAGGTCCAAACTAATAGTATAAAAGAACTAATCTTATAATTTATTAATAGTTATTATAAAGTATAAATAAACTAGGAACTATTTTTAGGAAAAGGTAATTTTTAGGCTAGTATTTATAGTAAATAGCTTAATTTATAAAATTACTTATAACTAGTTATTAAAATCCCTTCTAAGTAAGCGGGCCTTAATATAATATATTTATAAGTTTATAATTATTATTCGGATCCTATTATATAAATCTTTTTATAAATATAGGTTTCGTAAAAATATTATTAGAGCTCTAATTTTAAAAGTAAACTGAGATAATAATAAGAAAAAGAAATTAATACTTTATAGCTATTTTATAAATAGCTTATATAAGTTATTACCCGAAGACTTATTTATATCTAGGGAATCTACTAATTAGTATATTTATAATTAGCCTAATAAATATCTAAAAATATAAGTATTAAGATCTAAGACTATAGTATTTAATATAGTTAAAAGATATTATTTATAGAAAATTAATAAATCTGTAATAGCCCGGAAAAGAAAATCTAGAAAGTAAATATAGCTAATTAGATTCGTAATTAATACTAGCTAGTTTATATAATTCGGAATTATTACTATTTTATTAGGATTTGGGCTATTAGGTAATTTACTAATCTAGTAAATAAACTTCTAGCTATTCTTATTCTTATAAACTCGTATATTAGTCTATAAATAGAGCTACTTAAACTATAGCTAAATAAATAATTATTAAAAGTATATAATAATAATATTTACTTATAAATCATATAATATAACTAGAAGAATCTAAATAAAGTTCCTATTAAGAATTACAGGTATTTCTCTAAAGGAAATATTATTTACTATAGATTATAAATTTACTAAAAGCTAGTAAATAACCTTAAAATAGTACTTATATTATATTAATATCTTATTTCAGATAATAAGATTTATAAACTAGAGAATTTATCTAAGGGTATTTTATTTTATAATAGAACTTATAAATAATTTATAAAGTTTAATTAGAATCTTAAACTAGAAATAAAACATATATTTATTTAATAATAAAAGAATTATAATACTTATAAATACTATATAAAGAATTATTTACTTTTACTTATAAAAGTAATAGTAAAGTACCTTATATAAAAACGTTTTATCTATATTTCCTGGCCCTTATAAATAAAAGTAAGCTATTTATAAATCTGATTTAATAGCTATAATAATCTTTATAAAGTATAATTACTAATTAGAATTAAGCTATATTTATATTATAATTATAAATAATATTTAGTTCTCGAAAATATATAATATAAATAAGAAATAATACTTACTAGTCTAATTCTAGATAAAAAACAGGAGCCTATAGTCTATAAATAACTACTATTAGTCTATAAGCTTATATATAAGTAAGAAGAGGCTATAATTATAATATGAATTAAAAAGCGGAAATAAGAAACTATTATTATAAATAAGCTAGTATTAGAAATTATTATAGAAATAGTACTTATACTAGTTCCAGATTATTAATAAGTCTATAATTAGTTATTAATAGAAGCTAGTTAAGAATAATATTTATAAATTACTTATAAATATAAATAAGATAGCCTTATTAAAATACTAATACTATTTCTGGTTATTTTCTATTAAATTATAAATAATATAAATAGCTTAATATATTAGGTAATAAATGCCCTTAACTAAATATAGATTTATAAAGAACTACGGGCTATAAATAATTATAAATAAAAGCTATAAATAGTATTATTTACTCGAAATAAGATTATAGTAATATATATAACTAATCTAGTTATTATTATTTTACTAATAATACTTCTATATATAAATCTTTAGAACCTATATAAAATAGGTCAGAAACTTTAAATATAAGTATTATTTATTATTCTTATATATAATATTATATTTAAAGAAAGCTATTAAGATTAAATAAATATTTATAATCTTTATAGCTAGGGCTATAAGAGAAATATTATCTAGAAAATAGACTATTTACTTTTTCTTAAAATAAACTATAAGATACTAAATAAAAGAAAATTCCTAATATATAGGAAATTTAAATAGTTACTAAATAGCCTTATATAAACTTATATAATAGGTATATATATACCGGATAATCTCGTTATTTATAGCTATAATTATAATTATTATATAATCCGTTTCTTTATATATATACTTATAAATATATTTAATTACTTAAATTAAGATATATATTTCTATATTAATATATAAATAGAACTTCTAAAAAAGATACGGGTTATATAAAATAATCTAATAATTATTACAAATAATTTACTAGTTCTAAATATTAGATTTATAGACTATAAATATCTATCTATTATTCTAGTAATAATATTTAGAATAGCTATTTTTATAGATTATAATACGGTTCGTAAAAGCCTTTAGAAATCTTTTAAAATATACTAATAGATTATAAGCTTCTTCATAGACTATATATAGGGCTTATATATAATCCTCTTTATATAAACTATAAAATATATTACTTATAACTAAGGCCAGAAGCTTATTTATAAAGTCCTATAATAGATCTAATAGTTTAGTATATATAACCTTATTTATATATTTAAATATATTAAACTTTATAAATACTTATAAGAATAAAAGTAAATATAAATATAAAAGCCCTTATTTCTAGTATTTAATTATATAAATATAGCCTATATATAATTTAAAAAGACTATTTTTAAGATTTATAAAAAGCTTTTAAATCTTGAATTAAAATATATAAGTAATTAGATCTGGCTAGTTTATAAATTATAAGCCATATAGCTTCTAGATAATCTCTAGCTATTATAAATTAGTTATAAAGATAATAAAAAAGATAAACTTTCTAAAATAATAAATAATAGCTATTAAATTTTAAAAAAGCTATTATATAAACCGATTTCTATTTATAAAAAAAAATAGAAGAATAAATTACTAATCTAGATTAGTTACTAAGATATTCTTATAAAGAAAAATATTTATTAAATTATTATATATATTTATACGGATTTTATCTTAATATAAATAGAACTAATTAAGAAATATAGTTTTATAAATAATAAAAGCATCTATAATATATTACTAAAAGAGCTAGTAAGTATAAAAGAGAGATAATATCTTATAATTACGGGTATATAAATAGAACTA